CTGGCCTGAATTCATCAAGGCTCTTAGTTGATCAGAAGAAGACAAGTTTACTGTATTAATTGCTTTCAGTTGATTGAATGCTTTTTATACAGTAATACAAGTTCACAAGCCTAGCACGTTTTCCTCCAGGTGTAGCTTTTCTTTCATATCCAAAAATACACTTTGAAAACTTAGAATTGTGTGATTTGACCAAATGTTTAAATCTCACATTCAGGCCTTGAGAGTATTTTATAGGTTTAACAGTGATTGTAAATAAAGTAATCGTAAATAAAAATTGTAGCCACCAGTACCTTCACCTGGCGGTGGCAGAGGTACGTGGAGAGCTCTGAAGCAGGAGGTGTTGCCGCCGGGTCACGGGCCCGGGGCTGTGATGAGGAGGGTGGAGGCGAGGGCGAAGCAGCGGGGCCGTGAGCCTGTACCTGGGAGCTGCTCCTGATGTCTTTTCCACAGATGTCCAGCTTTGTCAAAAACCAGTAAATCTTGTGAAGTTTATTTTCTTTATAGCATCTGTGTTTTATAATGGTGCTTTTAATTTGTTTTTTCTTTGTCTGCTGGGATTTCTTTTGTCCGGCACTTTCAGGCCTCCCTTTTTTTCTCGGTGGAAGTGAGTCCGTTAATGATGGCTGGCTGGGGAATACACCCCGGCCAGGCCGGCACGGCAGCCGCTCCCTCTGCCTAACAACAAAACCCATTGTTGTTTGCTTTCTTCACTTTTATCCTCAACTTCACCCATTTTTCCTTTGTGGAATAAAATGCCTGCTAAAGCGTGGCTCGGATTGTGGGTGGATGATACGATGACTTTTTTGTTGCAGACTTTCAGCAAACAAGTACACAGGCAGAACTAACTGATCATATTTTCAATGTCTCAATGGGGAATGTTTATCCAAGTTAATGCTGCACTTGTAAATAAACTTCTGCTGTCAGACTACCAGCACAACAACATCCTCAGCTTCTTGCAAATCCCTCAGTAATATTAGTAAGAGATTCACCAGCAGCTTCAATTGAGACATAAGACTTTTTTCTTTTTTTTTTTTCCTCCAGTGGAGGTCTAAAAGGCTGAATTAGGATTGACTGTAGGAGTTTTCTTGACTTGGATTTAGTTGTGATCAGGACTTTGGACCTTGAGTTTGTAATATTTGAGTGAAAATAATGCAAGTGCATCCTTTCACGTGTGTCTTGAGCTGTGGCCCAAGCTGGAGAGGGAGTGCAGGCGAACGGGAGGATGCATACAGGGAAAATAAACCTTAGCCTAAACTGGCTTTAATGTATTCCATGCACAGCTCTTGAGCTGTCGTCTGAAAATCTCCTTCGTGGCAGCCCGTGGAAAGACAAATACTTGACCAAAAGGACTTGCCTCGCACCGGGGTCCCGAGGGCTGTTAAGCTCACGCTCCGGGTGATTACCAAGGGAAAGTGCCTCATCGCTCAGGATCCTCGGCTGGAAATGTTCAGAGGGATTCCTGAGAGGGCATGTTTGCCATGAAATTGTGATGATGATGATAAATTTTCTCAAAATTAATTGCAATAGAAGGTTTTGTTTGAATAGTCAATAAGGTGTGATTTGTAGCTGTCAGTGTACAACCAAGTTAGCATTTAAAGTTAGTGCTAAGTGAAGCTACTCTACTGAAGCTCTAGTTCCAGGGGTTTATTCTTTATTAATACACATATTATCTTACAAGAGTGACTGTCTACATGTGGCAAAGTAACCTGAGTACAGAATTCTGCTGTATGAAAAATGTTTTGTTATTTCTAGTGGACTAAAACTTTGGCTTATTTGTTGCTTGTCCTTTGACAGTGAATCAACAACTGCTTGAGCTGTAGAAATAATGTTGATGCTTGACTGCGTTCTTTGTGCTCTTCTGGCCTGATAGAGCAGTCCTGGGCACACGCAACTCCCATTTACTGCAGGAGGAGTTTCCTGCTTCGAAGGGCTGGAGGAATGGAGGCTGACTTTGTTGGATTTCTGCATGGGCACAACAGCACACCTTAAAATCATGAGGTTTTAAAAGGACTTACTAAACGTAACGTGTGACACTTACTCGTTCCAGTGAAATTCAGACTGCACAGTACAGCCTTTGCTGAAGGCTTAGGACGGGATCTAGACACAGAGTGCATTTACTGGATCCCCAAGGCTATGCAGTTAGGATGACAAGCATGCACCTCTCTGATAGGTCTGAGGCAACCATACAATGAAGTTATAACACTATAGAACATTTCCATCATAAAAATAGCTAAAGATAGTTCAGTGTAAATGAAAGCAAATATTTTTGCTTTCTTCTATTCATCGCTTCTTTCTTTAACCTTACTCATCTGCACCATCTTCATATTACTGTAGTCAGATTTTCAAGGAAAACTTTACTGTCAGAAATAATTTGTCTCCTTTTTGTAGCATTCCAACTTTTAATTTTTGCCTTGTATCGCTTCTAATTACATATATTTGTGGTTAAGCAGCTGAATGTTGCTGCAGAAAATACAGATTGGCAGGCAATAGGTACTGGGATATGTTAGATCTTCACAGCTTTTCCATTTGTCAGAGCTGAATTTTGTAATCACGTTTGTGCTGTGAAGTGCAGTGCATTATGAGCTCTGGTTTAATTAATTTTTTATTGATGTTTGTATACATCAGATTAAGCTGTGCATTTAAAAATGAAATGCTTGACCTCTGAATGTGTTGTTTCAAAGAATCATCATCTTGGATTTTGGTCCCATTCCACATCTCTTTCACAGATTTTTAGTTCTGTCTGTATAGTTTAGTAATTTTTTTGTTTACTCTGAGTTTTCTTACGTGAGGCTAAAAATTTGTAGGATATTGTTGCTACAATTAATAAAAATTCCTAAGCGATGACTTAATCCTGCAGTTCTCTGAGTATCCTTAACTGCCTTGGGATTCCTCAGCTCGTGTGAAAATAAAGCAGCTCATCCTTGTGTAGGAAGGAAATCTGTAAATGCTTCATTTCTCCGCATGCAAATATTCTGTTGAATCAGCTGAAGGTTTTTGCATATGGAAAACTACATGATGTTGGGAGCGGAGGGCACCGAGTAATTAAATGTGCTGAGAGAGAGAGAGAGGAAGGGAGGAGTGTTACAGCACAGTCATTTGGTTCAGTAGTTCATAGTTAATCATTATATTCCTAACAAGTAAAAGAAAACAAATTACAGACATTTGCAGCCCCCTCTGTAGATACGGTCGCTGTTTGCTGTGTAGCATGCAGTTGCTCGCGGTGAATACGGGAGAGGGAAACACTTTCAGAGGGGCCTTGATTACATGCAACAGTAACTAATTAGACAATAATGCAGAAAACTATTCATACTCCTTTCTACAAGAACCAAGAATGCGTTTTGAAACTAATCTTAAAAAAATTAATTGCAGCTCAGTCTTAATTTAAAACTGAGCTTTTTTTTGCTTTTTTTTTTTTTTTTTTCCCCCTTTTCCTGTTTCTTTTTATTCCAAGTTGGTGCAGGAAAATTGCTATTAATGAAATCTGCTCTCTGAGACTTCAATAGGCTTGTTATTCATTAAAGCCTTGCTATTTCTCTTAAAATGTATTGACCAGTGTTCAGGCCAGATACTTAATACAAAATACACTTTGTAATTTCATCATTTTTGTTATTGTGCTTTTCTAAGATGCAGAGGTCTATAGACTTTGTAGAAAAAACAAATAAAACCCCTAAGCTTACAGTTATATAGTATTAAAAGAAGGGTAAAGGAAGCATTGAGTGTCTTTAGGATGATGAGACATTCATTAAGATTTTTCCACCTTCCTTTTCCTATTTTCAATCCATCTGAAGTACCATTAAAGCTTTTCAGGCAGCTTCCTGTGAGAAACCCTTTTCTGTGCTGTTTTTCTTCCTTGAAAAAAGGTGGCTGCTCTTCAGTCAGATTGTATGGATTTGGCCTGGGATTTGTATAATATCTCTGTAGAATGCATCGGTTGTTTAGGAACCTAATTCCCAATATGGCTCCCTTTTGATAAAGAACAAAGCCAGCGTTTCACAGCATTATAGGAACACAGAAAAACAAGTTAACGATCTAAACCTTTTAATTCATGCTTGCTTGTCTATTTAAAGTACTTTTGATTCTGTTATAAACAGACTGGCCCCTTTTTTGTTTAACTTCTTTCTTTGGTTTCTTCACATTTCTTTCTTTACTGTCCATGAAATTTGTAGCTAGTTTCCTTTTCTAACTGAAGAATGAAAGGTTGTGACTACAGAACGATGCAGAAAGTAAGAAAGCGTATCTAAGCTGGGCGTGCATCCAGCACAGAGCTCTTTGAAACAAGCTAAATTTAGGGGTGTTGGGATTTTTTGGTTATGTTTTCCCCTTCCTTTTTTAAGTACCTATGTTTTGTTTTCTTAATTCTTTTTTGAGCGAACGTGAAGTTTGTTACTTTTTTCATACTTTCTTGATTTTTACGTGTAGTTTGACATGTCTTCATTTTATATCGTTACTGGTTATTTTCCTCTGGTCTTAGTTCAGCAGATTACTGCTATGTGTGCCTCTATCCATAGAGACAACAAAGGCAACCTTTTCAGGACTTCCAATTACTAACACTGTATGCGGTACTTTAGGAAAGTAATTCCCTTCCAGATACTCCCTTCTTCTTCTTCTTCTTCTTTTTTTTTTTTTCTTTTTAAGTAGAGAATTAGAATCCAGAGCTTGTTCTTCAAATCAAACTTGAAAACTTTTTGGTGAACAAAACTGTGAGGCAAGCAGCAGTAACAGGCATAATTTCCCTTCCATGGAAGGGGACCTTATTCCCATATATAAAAATCAACATTTGCTGCTTCCATTGTAATTTCTTTTTTTTACCTGAAATAAAGATGACTTTTTTAGGTGTCTTTTGCTCAGAATAGGAGCTCATTATTTCATTTTATTTTCTCTCTTTTTTTTTTTTTTGGCAATGAGTTCTTTCAGGCAGAAATAACATAAATGAATGTTAGAAATGATAAGTGAAGAAAAACTTCCAATAATGTGTTCTATTACGTCTCTGTCCCATCAAGGTAAATTGAACAGCCAAGACACTTACAATAACTTCACAAACAATAATCCTGGGAACCCTCGACTCCTGCCTCTTCCGAGTTTGACTGTGGTGTTGCCTCTTGCTCAAATCAAACAGCCAATGACATTAGGGACCATCACCAAACGCACAGGGTAAGTCTATCGGCACAGACCTTTCTTAACGTTGTTATTTATCATTAACGTGGAAATAATCTGTGTTATTAGTGATACTTGGTTTTATTCCTTATTCTTAATTTCAGTGTATGTCATTTAATGGCAACGGGAGGGGGGTGGGGGGAAGAGGAGACAGAAAAAGAAAACCAGCATCAGATAAGTAAACAAAACCTGCAAAACGACGTCTGAAAATTCAGGAGTGTTCATTTAGATGAGGTCACTTTCTTGCAGTCTGCCATGTGGGAAATACTGTATGCTGGCATCAGGAGAATTTTCACACCAGGAACTGGCATGAAACATCAGCAGAGCTGTATTCAATCAGAATAAGTTATGGCTTTGCTTTATTTTTTTAAAGTTTGTTTATTTTGATTTCCTAACTTTTCAAGCAGAAATGATTTTTGACTATCAGAAATGGAAAGACAGTAAGCCAGTTTGAGCATAAAGACAAAACTTAATCCTGCTGTTCCCTTGACCTTATTTTTCCTCTGAAGTGACTGTTCTGTACTAGGAAATTCACGTGTGGACTTTCATTCCGGAGCCAGCTGCACTTTGGTACTTCTCACTGTGCCATGATAAAGCGCTGCAGAATATTTGTTGTGAAAAGCTCTACTTTAATATCTGTATATTATAACTGAGAATATTGTGAGCTTCATGAGCTGTAACGATTTTAATTGATAACTTTTCAACAGTTGATATTTTTCTCTTGCTACATTTCAAATCGTCAGTTTTTGCAATTAATACATAAAGCTAGTGGGTGATTATTGTATTTTCCCCCCCTCTTGCTTTTTGGTGGTTCAAATCCCTGAATATTTCTAATTCAAAGTCTGATTGAACCATTAACTTACAGATGGCTTTTATATTTTGAAGAGAAATAGATTGTGTATGGCATGTGGTTGGACAAAACAATTGAGAGTCCTACAGGTTCATAAAATTTTCCTGCATTTTGGCAAACGGGTGCAGGCACTGTCTTGCTTGCTTCAGTGGTTTCTTGTTTAAGCCCCTATAGTGAGGTGAATTTTCCCTTGTGTTTCATGAAGCGGGAATTATTTTTCAGGCGAGAGCTCGGAGATATTCCCTTCTCTCCCTGAGTAATTCCTCTGTACTGTGCTTGAGTGTTCAGGACATCCTGTAAAATCTGTTCTTGTTTTGCTTAGTGCACTAAGTATGCATGATGATGTTCTGAAGCTTACGTATGCATTCGCATATATACGTGTGTATCTATATACATGTCCACCTAACAATCCAGTCCTGCCCTCACGGCTGTAAACAGGAATTTCATTAGCCTTGCTGAGCCACGTTGTGAACTACAAACACGCAGTTGCCCTAAGCACAGAGGCTGCCTGCAGATAAATTCCTGAACTTCATAGATAACTGTAAATGGAACGTAGGAAACAGTAAAGAAACAGTATGAGGGTGATCTTGTGGTTTAACTTCTTCCACATATACATTTCAGTTGCTTATTTTTGCTTGCCTTCTTTTTCTTTTTTTTTTTTTTTTTCCCCCTGCTTTACAATTTAAATGCAGGCGAGGGAAAAAGATTGAGCTAGCAATTAACTTTTGAAAGTATAGAAAGGTGTGATCTTGGATGAGGACAGGAGGGGAGGTAGGATCGGAGAGGGTTCGGTCTGAATGGAGATAAGCAAGAAGGGCCAGTTCTTCAAAGAGGAAAAATATCCAAGAGGTGTCTTGAAGAGTAGAGTCAGAGGACAGAAATGTGATTCTGCGCTCTGTTGGTAGGCTCCTAGAAGTGGAATAGTCACTTAGAACTAGGTAGGACAGGACGTGGACAGAAAATAATAAACCACCTGAGGGTCTGCTGCGGGGAAGGTAGGGTGACAGGAGCACTGGGTGATGATTTGGAAAAAAACCTCTTGGTTTACAGCAGTAACTCATGCAGTGGCCTTCACAAAGGCTGTTTCCTCCATGCTCTGGTGATACCGGGAAACTTTTCTAGAACTATTGCAAATGTACTAAGTCTGCAATATTTTATTTAATGTTTTATTTTTAAATATCTTAAACATATTCAGAGAGTGAGGATATTCATAGTTTTAAGTGAATTTTACTATTCACAAACTGTCCCTGTCCTCTTATTTTGTCTAATTTTTAAAACTAATTAAATTTGAAATATTCAATGAGGCTTATGTAAGGGGGGAAGACAACAGTCATGGGAAATACCCTGCTGTGTAAATGGAGTTTTCATGAATGAGGATCATAATTTTCAGTGAAGCCTATGTAGATGTGTAATGCTAAGCTAAAAACTTCCTTCATTTGTTCTGCATCCAAAATATTTGATGAAAGTACACAAAATTAACATGAAAAGCTGTATTTATAAAGCAGGGATTTGAGAGGAATGCCTAGGATCCAAGAAGCCTGACATGCCTAAAATGACCGAATTGAGACAGCAGCCTTAACTTAAACCTCCAGGGGGCAAAGCGTGTGTTTAACATATTTAACATCTGCCCTCATATTTCTAGAAACACATAGCACTGTAAGTCTGTACAGTGTAATATTTAGACAGGACAGGGACCATCTGCCTCAGTCTGAGAAGTGTAGGAGGCATGTATTACTGCAAATGGCAAAAGACAGATGTATTTACACCTACATGGTCAGCACCTTTAAGCACTGCTCCGAGGAAACAAGGCTCTTCCTTGGGAGCAGCTGCTTAACCTTGTGATTGTGCAGCGATCAGAAAAGGAGACGCACTCGCGATCGGTTGGATTTTCCAGTCGCTGTTCGGCGGCCCTCAAAGCAGACTCCTTTTCTGTTGTTGTGACTTGTGAAGAATTAAAAATTTAATCTGTTACAGTACATTTTTGAAGGTATAAAGCAAGACTGAAAGGATACCATGTAATTAGCAGCCCTGGATTTGTCCGTTTTATTTGTTTTAAATGTATGAACAGCTTCTTTAATACTAGACATCTTGATTACGTTTTCAGGTTTTATTAACCAAAAAGTCAAGCTGGGTTTCGTTCTGCTAGTATCCAAGACAGCAAAATATTTTTCAGGTACTGAAAGGCCTGATCAGTGCTTTTAATATCATCTGTCTTGAGCAGAGCTGCAAAGCATGTCATTCTCCTTGACAGGTGGAATGGCAGTAAATTTTTAAAAAGTGTTCACTGTAGCCCTATGGGAATGAAAGTCCAGAATCTGGAGTTGTGTCATTACTGCGCTATTCATCACAGATGCTTTTTTTTTTTTTTTTTTTTTTTTAGATTTTGGAACATTTTCTGATCAGTCATTGAACTCTCTTATTCTAAATACAATTTCTGTTCTCAGCACTAAGTATCTCAGAGTCTTACCTCCCTTTTGCCATCACTATCGTTTCCTTGTTCCCTGCCCTCTGCTTCTTCCCTTGCTTTTTCAAGTCTCTCATTGTAATTTCTGCACCTTCATGAAGCACTTAATTTCTGACCGATATTTTGTTATCCCATTGACTCACTTTCCTGGAGTTTGTACTGTCAGCACTTTCTGAGGAGCAGATAGGCTTTCCCAAAGGGGCTCTGACACTAATTAATTAGGAAACATCTTATGTTTTAAAGATTAGGGGGATGTAAGACAGTAAAAGAGTTAGATTTAATAAGCCTTTATATAAGCCTGTGCCTCAGTTTCCCTCTCAAAATTTTAATAGTAATGCTGAATTCCTTCTTGAATCTGGTGAATGGGTTAATTCATTGCACATTTACAAAGAGCTTATAGATTTGAAAGGGGAAGAACTGTATGATCCATCTCATGCTTGTCTATAAAAGGCAGTGAATCAGAATATGTTAGAAGACAGCTTTGTGCTTTCCAATAGCTTTATAAGCGTTCCTTGTGTTTGTGGAATGAGTTGTAGTTATTTTCCAGCTCGTAAGAATGTGGGGGGACAGACGAGCTATAATAGGAAGGAGGGAAATAAAAGATACAATAATTGGCCCAAAAGAAAAACTATGGTAAAATTTGTTTTCTCTGACAGCAGCATTTGTTTTAACTTTCTCAAGGGATATGGGAATCATATTTGTTACTTCATTCTCAAATTCATTCTAGCTTTAGTGAAACACCAGGATGTAACCTGCATTAGTTGGGCCTTGTCAAAATAAGAGATGTCCGATGTACCTCGTAGGAAGAGAAACAATCCTGACTTTTTTTTTCCATCCAAAAGGTTTAGATAGTGTGTTTTTAAACATGAAACTCTAGCCGTTCTTCATCCCATCCCTCATTCCCCTCCCCTCCAGTAAGGAAGGGGGAAAGTAGGTAAAGTGTCTGATGCAATTTTGTCATTTTAGCGTTTCTCATTGCTTATATTATGTGTACTGAAAGTCACCGATACCTGTTTGTTTTATTTTGACTCAGAGAGCTTAATTTGTCCCAGGTACTACTACTGAAGCAAACAAAAATAAGGAGTGCAAAGTCATGACATCATGATACAATTAAGTAGGAAAAAGTAACTTTAAAAAGTCAAGAAAAAAAAATTAAAAAGTGAAACTAAAGAATCCAGCACAGTAGGTCAACTTTCCTGCATGCTGAAGGCAGACATTCTCATCCTGGCACATTTCTCACGCATGTTTTGTGTCACCTTTTAGCTTTTAGAATAAATTTTGGTAATAAAGCAACTACTGCAATGATTTGTAATTGATATGAAATGCAGTTATTTGCAGTAAATTTTGTTCAGATGTCACCATTGATGAAAGGATTCTCACTAAGGCGACATAAAGCGATGAGGGTTAGGATAAGTGGGTATTGCACAGCTTATTAAAAGCTTAAATAGTTTTGATTAAACAGGGTAACACAAAATTAAAGGACGTTTCAGTTTTTCGTTTGCTAAAGCTCGGAATCAGATAAGAAATTAAGAAAATTCTGTTGGGATTTTGAATCATAAATCATCTTCATTCTGTAATTTTCCTTTGGAATTTCTCACTAGCTATGAGAAAGGGGAACTTCAGTGAGGTTTTTTTGCCTTTCATTGCTCTGTTACTGTCACCGAGCGTAGCCATCTGGTGCTGTCTTTTCAAGGTTGGGTTATCCTCTAATTTGTACATTCTCTCTCAATTAGCATACCATCCATATTACGTGAAGGAAATAGTGAAAAACAATTGCTTATATAAATATTGGAGGAAAAAAAAAAACGGTCATCTTAAAAGAAATCAGGCCTTGTGAACAGAAAGGAAATGTCAAGTTGTCTCTCTTACACTTAAGGCTTTTTATTAAGACTCTAATGCAGTCTTTTGAAGTGTAATTACATTTTCTTCATGATACAAGATTTTGTATCCATGTTAAAACCAAACAAACCAACCTTCCATTGAAGCATGTATCCACCTGGGTCAATTTGTAATTAAAATAGAGAGAATTTGTTAATTTGCAAGTATAATCGGGTCAACGTAGTATGTTTGTGGGGGAAAAAAAAAAAAAAAGCACCTATGTTATTTTCTAAAATGTTCTAATGAGCTCAGCTAAATGTCATTTGCCTGCTTTTTGCAGACAGAGAAACTGAGGCTGAGAGGGAAAAAAAAAACCAAACCAACCAACTTGCCAAAACATCCAGGATCATAATTTAGAAATTCTAAGCTCCCAGTCAGACTCGACCACTCTCCAATGACTCTTCAAATTTACACTAGAGTCATTCTAGGTTTTAAATTATATTGACTATGTGTTATGCAGAAGACTTAGCTTTCCATTAAATATTTAAACAGTGCAATAGTGCTGGGCTGATCTTCTTTGAGCCATTAGGATGGTCTTCGACTCAGAGACTGAATGTGTTGACTGTATAGGAGATCATACAATTCATACAGTTCATACCATTTAATTGGGTTTTATCACCGCTCAAAGATGATCTATTAGTCCTAGAAAGGCAGCTGATTCTACCAAACAAGCTCTTTCCCCCAAAGCATTAACCAAACATTTCAATACAACCAGTTAGAGGCTAGTCTGTTTGTTATACAGAGTTCAAAAAATCTTTAATATGTTTTTGGCCTATATTAGTAATTTTAAAAAGGATTTTTTTTTTTCTGCAGTATTCTATTCTGTATTGGATTTTTACATCTTTGCATGTCAAAGAATATATGTCATAGGTTTGTACCTTCACCTAAGTGTTTTTTCTTCATTGCTGTTGTGCTCGTGTCAAATTTAGCTCCCAGAATTCTTTTTTACGAGGCTGGTATCCTTTTAATTGTGCAGGCATACGGCTGGGTGCTTTGTACATCTTTCTATGATAGACCTTGCCTGAAAATATTTCATTTGTTTCGTCTAGTCAGAATTTATTGCTGAGTCAGAGTATAAAAAGGAAAATGACACATTGGCATTTACAAAATCAATTATTCAGCAATTTTGTGGATGATGTTGCATCCCAAATGAGAATCAAAGAAGCCTTGAGCATGCGAGTAGCTCTAAATTTACCTCCTATTCCTCCTTTTCAGAGTTTATGCAAATGTCAGTGTGGTGATGGCTTTTTCAAGGGTGATGTAAAGAACAAGGGAGAAATCCATTAAAAATGCACTAAAATTAATAGTGTGTGGTACCACTTAAAGAAACTATACACTGTGCAAAGTACTTGAACAAAATCTCAAATAAAATCATGGTGTCGATAAATCGTTGAGTCACCAAAAACATTAAGCTCTCTAGCAGGTGATTTTTAACATCAAGTACTTTGGAAATAAGTTAGGGTTCTCTTTCCTGCACTCCGTGGACGTTTTTAAGTGGGGGAATAAGATTGCTGTCTCATACGGTTGCGAAAGATTTTTGAATTTAATGGTGTGTTTCTAGGGCTGAGTAATTTTCTCTAAAAGGTTGTGCTTGTACCTGTCGTTTTTTACTTAGGACTTGCCTCTTTTGAGTAAATTTGTAAACCTGTCCCACTCAGACCTTCAGTGGAAAACACCCACCTATTTGTTGCTTTCGATGCGAATTTCCTTTTTTTCTATTAGTTCGGAGTTCAATGTCTGTTTAAGGCTCTTGACTGCTTTTGCCTCTGATGTGTCAGCAGATTTCAGGAAGGAGACCTAAGCTGTGTCTAACGTGAATTCTAACGTTAAAGCCCGCTTGCAGCTGGTGCATTCGTTTGTCACAGCAGTTGTGCATGAAGAGCCTCGCCCACCAGCTCCTGCTTCTGTGGGTGTTGCCTTGTCAGTGGGACCCTTCACGTGAGCAGTTGGCTGGGAGCGTCAGCATGCTGGTTACCTTAGGGATCTACATCTCTTTCAGGGCATCATGAACGGTTATAAAAACTTAGTTTGTTTACCTTCTGCATAAATCTTAATAGCATGATATACAGTGTACTTGTTGGTAATGGAGTTGTCATCTAATTTCTGTGCATTTTTCCCCTTTACGTGAAGACCTTACCTGTTTGGAGCAGGATGTTTTTCCATAAAAGCTCCATGGTGAGTTCCCAGTTCAAACCCAGCATGCCTATAATTCATTCGCTGTCCTCACTGAAAATAACTCTGTGCTTAGAATTTTTAATTTTGGTTTAATTTTTTTTTTTTTTTTAAATTTGTTTACTTGCATGGCTGATCCATAGGTGGAAGCACTGCGTAATTTCACTATTAAACTATGGATGTGTGTTCACCATCAAGCATTGTCAAAGAAATGCATTCACTTTTTTTTTCTTCTTCTTCTTCTTTACCTTTGAGAGGGTATTGAATTTTTAAGTAGCAGAGAAGTTGAAAAAATAAATTATTTCCCAGTGAGCAAAAATGATTGCAATATTTTTCCAAAACAATCATATATATATATATATATATATATATATTTATATTGCTTTATTATTGTAGCACTAAGGTGCTTACAGACGGAAAATATCAATGATGACTTCTTGAAAATAAACCAGATTAGCAAGGAGTAGACAGTAAAGTACTGCAGTAAGAGAGATGAAGCAAGTAAAACGGGCACTGCAAAAAAAAAAAAGCAGCTTATCACGCTTGAGAAAAAATAAAAACATAGTTCAATTAAAAGGGTATTTGAAATAATAAGGGGTTTGGGGTTTAATATGTAAAATTTCAGCATGTTACAACAATACAGACAGAAGAAGAAACAAGTTTTAACGAGTTTCCCCGTGTTGGTGCTTGGTTCAGTATTCACATAGTGCTTCATAACCTCCCGTCACCTTTTTATAATGAGATGGGGGTTAGGTGGTTGACGTTTTAGGCAACAAGAATGGAAGGAGTTTGAACAACTTCCAACATCCTTAGAAAATTTAGTGACTTTCAGCTAGGAGTTTTTTCGGCTTGTTTTGTTGGGTTTTTTTTTAAGTTTAGCCAAGGATACTTCTGAGCTATATCTTATCAGTATCTGTTAGAATATTTGTATGTGCCTCTTGTTTCTACTACTAGAAGTTTGTTCCACATGTATCACCCCCTAATGTCTCATCGAAATACTATCTTCAACAGAAAGAACTTCTTAAGCGCTTCCTTAGGATACAGCCTTAAGAGAATGGCAGAGGACAGCTGGGCAGGGACCTGGGAGCTGTACCAGGCAGGGAAAGCAGAGGACTAAATGTCACGCTAAAGGAAAGACGGTGACGTTGCCTTATTCCTGGAGAATATTTGGTTACTGAAGCAGTCTTCCTAAGAAATATTTTGCAATGTATTTTACATTACACCCAAGTACTTCATCTGATGGTGATCGAGGAACTGAAAAGGCTCTGGAAGAAGACTTTTGAAAGTGGATTGTCTTAGCAAATGGATGTGTCAGTTGCCCCCTGCAAGAAGGAGCAGAGACGCTTGTCAACCAGAAATTATTTTAGATTGAGGCAAGATTAAAAGGCCAAGATTAAAGTGGGGAATATATGAAATAGTCTCAAAAATTGTTGCCTGTCTTTCACAAGGCTCTTTTGTGGTTTGTTTAATGCTAGTGCTAGCTCAAAAATATGGTCTTTACTAGCCTACAGAGAAATTAGGATAAAAAACACACTTTGGGTGGAGAGAGAAATCATGTTGTTTCCATTAAGGCCTTAATGAGACCTAAAATTATGTAAACAGAATGAAAGGAGATTTGACAGCTTGCTGCCTGGCCAATAGAGGGGCCTACCATTTCTTTCCTTGCTGCTTCTTGCTTTATTCCCGATCTGACAATGGGAAACATGTCTTTCTTTTCTTGTACACAATGGTAAATTAATTAAAATATATGTCTTTTGAGACGGATACACTTTTTCAGTAATTTTATGTGTAATGTCAAATTTCACGCAGTATTTTTCTCCTGATACTTTTGGTGCTGCTCCCGTAGTCTAGATAAAACTTTAACCTTCAGAAATCATACATGTTTCCATTTCAGTGAGCTTAGCAGTGGAGCTGTGGATAAGTGCTTTTGGTTTTATGAATCTGATGTATTTGAAGCCTATTCATTGGGAGTACAAAACCAGTGTGATTCTCAGTCTTTGCACTCTTACCGTTTGATTGGTAATATTAGAATTTGTAAAGCAGTACATTATACGTGCAATTTTTTTTTTTTTTCAAGCCATGTCACTTGTTTGGCTATGAACTTAAAAGAAATTTAAGAGCCAGCAGTATTTTATGAGACATAAAGCTCTTTGAGGAACACTCATCACTGTACTCTGTATCCTCTGCTTTTCATAGTTGCCTATCGTTTTCAAAATATTTAATGATATGAATTCTTATTAATTCTTTCTTATATAAAGTAGAAAAATGAATATTAATAAAAAATTAAAACTAGTTAAAATTAGTCATGATCTTTATAACGACCTAACACAAAACATTTCCATGATGGCAGAGTTTGATTCGTTCCAAAAGTCAACAAGTGGTAGTACTGCATTGTTTCAGTAGCTCTTAATCTTTTCTTCATTGTCAACATGAAAGAACTTGCATGCTAATGCTGAGTGTCTTTGTTTCTTTTTAAGATCTGACAAAGTAATGTCTTCATTTGCTTCTTTATTTTGCTCCCATCACTTTTTGTGCCGTTTCAGTAGAAAATGCTCACGTATGTTTTTCATTGGACATAGATACATCGGCATCTCAGTGCTTCTGCATTTAAAATAGAAATAATCTTCCAAAATTATGTTAGAGGAGTTAATTATTTATCAACAACACAAATTTCCCCAAATACTGTGGTATTTAGCTGGAGTTTGGGATTAACTTGATTTTTGGTAGGTGACTTTGTCATTGACTTCAGCTGGGGTAGGTGAATGTCAACTGCTGGTAACTGAAATGACAGGAACATGGTCTTCAGATGAGGCACAGCTCTTGTTAAATTTATAGCGGAACAAAAACGACGTAATTGGAAGGGGGTTTTATTGCTATTGTCCTCCTGCTTAGGGTTTCTGCACAGATACAATTGGGATAAAAGTACTGCTGTGTCTCATGGAATTCTTAGTGTAGTTATACAGTTGGGTGGACCCAGACAGGAAGAAGTGTGCTGCTGTCTTTTTATCCTCCTTAAGTCTTAAATATAGTGCTGTTGTTTCTAATGTGGAAGATTCACATCGTAAGGGTGAACATTTTGATCCCGTTAGCTTCACTTTCTGGTTTTTAGTGTTGATTCCCAACAAGCACTTCTTCCTGCATCACGACCCCTTTCAGTAGAAATGTGGTACAATCTTTTGAAAGTTAGTACATTGTGAAGATTTTTTTTTTTTAAAATTAACTGTTTTTAAAAGTGAGGCCAATTGTGCCTTAATTTCAGTTCTTGGGATAATTTATGAAGTGCTGACAGGCTAAGAGTAAGTAAAGAGCAGGAGTTCATAGCAGAAACAAGTCATTCACCACCTACCTTCAACATTATTGTTTTGTTATCATTTATAAAACTGAGAGGGTGTTTGCATCCACATAATAATAAGGATTTATAGTTTCCAAGTTGTTAAAATATCACAATGACATGAAAATATATTTTTCTAATGGCATTACTGTTACTGAAAATAACTGGGCTTTTGAGGTTTACTGAAGGAAAGAAATTTGAGTTGGAATGTATTGATGAAAACCCAGGGATAAAGTAAAATGGTGGTAAAGTGAAAGATTCCTTAGTTAGAATAGTTTTCAGAATAGACTTGTTGACATCTCGGCAGTTTTTTCAGAAATATGTCGAAACCAATATGATGCACTAGTCATTTTTGTTGTTGTTGTTTGTCTTTATGTTTTAGCAGGACTAAGTTTAACCACATGAGTAATCGTGTTTTACAAGGTTTGCTCTTTCTGTCTACAAAACATCATTCTTGAAGGGAAAATGTTTTGGCACTGAAACCAACACTTAAATGCATGCCTCGAAAGATGTACATCTTAAAGACGTGATGTAAATAGAATGTAGCTTAGACCATTTCCTCTAAGGCTGTTTATAACTGGATTTGGTTGAGCGTTGGGCTTGGGACTAAGAGTGTGGAGAACCCTGCAAAAATGTGTTGAGAGTACCAAATCCCTTCTGCTTAAAGGCTCAAAGAAATTTAAGTCAATTATGTCTCTGTAGAAGTTTACTCCAGTTTGTAGTTGAGAGTAGCATTTGCTCCAAATTTTTTTTCCACTTTATTTTAATAACCTCAGATTGTGTTGAGTAAGAATTCAGAATATTAAGAGTATTAGCACAGTATAGAAAGATTCTCTTTTTCAAGAGCTCTGAAGAGGAAGTGAATATGGCTGAATCGTATCTGTACTCGTAGCTTCTTTGTACTGACTGACGGGTAACACTGTCCTGAACAATCATGTTCTATATTAAAAGCAATCATTTATTGATTGAAGTATAGATCAGTAGGTAACAAGACTCTAATTATTGGATACATTTTCATTTTTGAAGGAATATTCGTGTATGAATATTGGAAGATGAGAGCTAAAAATAGTTACTGCTACACAGGTTCTTACAGAACTGGTTAAAAATACTGTTTCTGTGACAGATGATGACTTCAAAATGGAAGAAATCTGATTTTTTCTGAGCAGCTAATAAATACTATATTAACATAAATTTAAATGTTCTAATATAGATTGTGAAATGCCACTGCAAGCAAGATAATATATCCATAGCCAGGACTTTTTTGGAACACAGATTTCTGACCCAGTAATCTGTAGCTGTAATTTTAACAGTTGGATATTAAGTGCTTTGTGGTGGTTCAATATCAGAGTTACTATAAATTCCAATTGCTCTTTTGGGACATTCCAGCTTCTCCTACATGTACGAGAGCTTCAGGACTGATCTAAGTCCGTGAAAGTTTGTCTGAATGTTTCCCTTGACTCTGGTCAGTGCAATGGAATTCATTTTGAAAGGTCCTTTTTTTTTTTTTTTTTCTTTTTCCTTCTAAATGAAAGGTGTGACGTAGGTTTGCCACGTGTGTGATTTATGGCAGGTGGCTTTAGCCCCTCTGTGCTTCAGCGAGTCCATCTGTAAAACTGGCACAATAATACTGCACGAGGTGTTGGGGAGCTCAATTACACTTTCTGTAAATCCCTCCAGAAACCTGGCTGAAAATACAGTGGGATTGCAAACAATTAGTCTTTTTTTTTCCCATTTTCATAACTGACCTCATTTCCAGTTTGCTGCGCAAAAGGTGTTTGCTGCTTTAGGTGAGTTCAAGTCGAGGGCCATTTGAAATGTTTCAGGTTGCATGACAGTGATGATGGAGGCTCTACGTTTTTAACCATGTGCTTATTTTCCACCTGTCACTCACTAGAGCTGGTTGTTGGAAGGAAATGAAGTGTTTGAGATCAGTGTGAGCTTTGCTATTTATTTCAGCGAGATCAGGGCTGAGCTGTAAGGGACCGAGACCTTTGGACAGGTGCTGTCTCTGCAGCCAGGTGCAGGAGTTTTGGACAAGCCCACCTAACAGAACCATTTTGGTTTAACTTGCTTTTCTTATGTTATTTTTGCATTATGTTGATTTACAATCTGTTCTTGCTTTAATATCCCTATTGGTTCGTTCTGTTGAACCACTTCACCTGTATACGAGTAATCTGTCATTAACAAAAAAGAGTAGTATGTATTAAACGCCATTATAATTATGCGTAGTGTTTGAATTGCTTTGTGCTGTTGAAAAATATTTTTCTGCTGCTTAATTCCTTCATAATGCTTGCAGTGATTTGTTTGCACATACATCCACGCACACATACACTTCTCAGAGCTGGAAGATCATTACTTAAAAATGACCAAGTCAATGTGATGGCGTAATCACAGGCTGATATCATGTGGAACAAGAAATTAATAGAAGGAAAAAGGAAAGGAGAGAGAGGTTAGCAAGAGAGGGGAGCAGTCAGATACACTACAGAGAAATATTAAATAATTCCATTAAAAAGACGGGAAAAAAGGGAACATGGAGAAGGAGAAATCCTGCATGAACTTTTCAAAGCAGCATTTATCTTAAGGAAAGGGTGAAATCCTGGTTTAATGATTTGAGGAAATGGGCAATGCTCTGAACACGGCTTTGAGCTCATACAAAGCAGAATGTCTCTTCAGATTCCTGTAAGGAGGAACAGTAAATGCTGCTTCAGTGAAACGCAGTTATAAACCACCGTATCTGCTACATGCACATGGTGGAGTTTCACAGGAGGGTGGATCCTAATCTCTTTTTACGTGATAAAATTACTGATTTGTTTTAACACGTAGCTCACGAGTGTATGCATTGTTTCCCTTTCCCTGTATCCTCCGCATGTTGTTCCTTCTCACCCTTTTGCCCATGTCACGTTTATCCTAGTGCTTTCACCGGCATCAGGACTGTGCTGAGATACAACCGATCAGCACTTAGCATTATGATTAGTTTTATTTATTATTATTATTATTATTATTATTATTATCATCATCATCATTATTATCATTATTATTATCATTATTATTTTCTTTGGAAAATACATGAAAATATCAACCACTTAGAATGACTGACCCAGAATCTATATTTTCATTCCCAAAGGACTTACAATTATAAACGTTTGTATTCACTTCTAGAGTTGTTTATATTGGATGCAAATATTCAATATTGGGTCTTTTAAACAGTCCAACTAATTCTCCATTATGGCCCAGCGCTGTTCTTCAAGTTAATGAGTGCAGTGAGCCAGGGGAATTTGGGACCTGTTATTGAGAAACACGAAGCATCTGTAAATCCTGCTAAATCTTACGGGAACTGCAGATAATTCACCACTTCTGAATTAATATCTTAGGATGACTGTTAAGCAAGGGACGTCTTAATTTTGGAGAATTAACTTTCATAATTTGATTTTGTTCTTTTGTTAAGCAAATCCAAACCAGCTCCACAGATTTCACCCAGTAAGTCTGTGGGAGGAGAGTTTTGTGTTGCCGCAGTCTTTGGATCATCACGGTCATGGTTTGCAAACAATCCTGGTCTGAAAAGAGAAAAAGGTTGGTATGTTACAAAAATAGCACTTGCATTTAAGTATAAATTCTCTATTTTATTTTCTCATTTTGTGATAACTTCTGAGCAGATGGGTCTCATCTGTAGGTTTTGTTCCTTAGCCTCAGTGACAATGGAGGTTTTTGGGAACATGGTTGGGGTGATTTTGGTAAATAGGACAATTTACAAGAAATTTTAATTCGTGACATAAATCACTGATCTTTTATTATGATAGAATGACAGAAACCAAACTTGGATAATTTAATGCAAAGATGCTGTGTGAAGTTTCACTGAAAAAGCCATGAGGTAAAAGCGAAACACTGTGCTAAAGCGAATGTACAAACGTATGTTGGCAATGTGTAATTACCTGAACACACCTTGGTGAGAAACTCTGTTCCACCTTCTCTTATATGAGATATTTGTATTTTTTTGAAACAAGGGGGAAACTGTGTGCTTTGTACAATTTGCTCTTTGTCTCTACAGCCCTTTCACTTCTAATTCCCATTTTTGACTGCAAGCATGCGAAGGCAAGAAACTTAAAAAAAATTAGTAGTCTTCTGTTTCCACTGTGCTATTGCAATAAGATTTTCTTTCTTCTTGCGAATAGATCAATCAAAACAGTTTGTAGTGGAGTCGTTGTACATTATCAGTTGTTATGGTAGCCTGGTGGAGCACGTACTGGAACCGCGTCCGCTCAGCACTGCGCCGAAGATCAGCGATGACACACCTCTGGAAATGATGACGTGCCCAAGAGCCAGCTGGACGTTGGTTAGGTAGCTCATTCCTTTTTCTTCTTCTTTTTGTCCACAAAACAGTTGTGACTTTTTCGGGAGGAGGGGTGAATGAACCACATCATGATTTTCACCTGTATTTTTATCTTAAAGACTCTCATTAAAGTATTTTTGTTGAAAGAGAGGACTCTGGGTAGCAATTTCAAGCCTGCCTTTTCATATAGTTCTGTTAGTGCTTATGTGTCCAAACGGGAGCTAACCATTGAAATCCTTCCAAAGATGTGGGGCTACGTGAACATATTTATGGATCAATAGAGATCCTTATCAGTTGGTGATTTTAAATGAGCAGATTGTAATTTAGCTTTTTATATCGGGGCTAGAAACAATTATTTTAATAGTGTTAAAATAGAGAATTCGGCCATGAGACATGAGTGAGGTTTCCACGATGAAGCATTGCAAATTGCAAAAATTAGGCAAGTTATCCTGTAAGTAGCTGAAGGTAGCATTTCTTAAGATAGCTGAAGAAATTATTCCTGACATGTGGAAGAAAGTAAACAAAAATTGATGAGAAAGTGTTGTCAGTGCTTTTGACGTTTTAAAATATTTTTCTATCGATTTTTCTTGGCTCCTATATTCCTTAGTGCCGCTTATGGCTGGACTAGATTGATCAATACTTGATTTACCAAGCTATTTAGGAATGGCCCACCCTAATTAAAATTACAACACAGACTTCTAGACCATTATTGTTGAAATGAGTAGGTTGTAATGGAATTGAAAATTCTAATTGGATCAATAGTCCATAACTTTACACAGCTTTATTTTCACAGTTTGTAAACGCTCAATGGCTTTACAGTATCAAAGCAATGCTAGTTAACAGAACAGAAAAGTTCCCCAGTTTCTGTTGTGTGTTTATAGAACGTCAGCATGACATACAATGGTCCTAAACATATTTACCAACTTAATCTAAACCGCCTTCATCATATTTTTTTTTTGCGCAATACATGCTGCAGTCAACAAACAAGTATTGTCTTGGCCTCACAATCTGCGTGATTTGGTCATGCTGCTCAACCGCCTGTGGTGTGTTGCAGTGTTTGAACAAGCTAATTTAAATAATTACAAACATTTTGTGAGCTTGTATAGCTAATTACATGTGATGACAGAAACACTGATTTACATTCTCTGTATTAGCTTAAATATTAATAGTCTTGTGTTTTACCTCAGAACTCCTCAGTGGAATGAACTCCAACCACCATTTAACGCAAACCATCCACTGCTCCTGGCTGCAGATGCTGTGCAGTACTACCAGTATCTTCTTGCTGGCTGTGAGTAGCTGACAACTTTTTGTCTTGTCTTACGTGTGCATTATAAGCCAAGTGTGTCTTTCTGAGTTGTTTTTTCAACCCTCATTTATTTCAGTACATGTCCTACTCCAGAATTAGGGCATCGTGTAACCAGCTGTGGTAGTAATGGTAGAGTAGCGAATATAGTTTCTTTTTGATAGGAATCAAAATTGTGAGGCCATCACGTCGCCAAAATGGGAGTGCTTGGCAGGCCCTGCAAGTGTGACCCGCTAGATCCCCTAAAGCCTTCGGGGTTTCTTCACCTCATTTCTTCACATGCTTTTAGCCGTTTCCTCTTGTGAATTCAGGACTCGGTGACAAGCGAGTGCATGTGCATTTTCCCTCTCCCCTGGAACTCCTGATTGCTGGGCTACTTCCAGTCAGTGTCTCAGACAGCTGCTTCCCTCGGGAGCCTTGGCATCGCTGCCAGGGACAGCTGCCCACCTGCCTCATCCTCTGTCTTACCCAGCCACGTCGTTCGTGGGGAGCCAATACCCGTGGCATTGCTTATTCAGAAACACTTCTATATCTGTAGATACGTGATATAGGTATGTTTTATATATAGATATAAATCCATGTATTTTATATTGGTTTTATAGGTAAATGAGTATGTTATTTTTTAATTTGACAACTCAAAAAAGCAAAGAATATTAAGGGTGAGTAGCAAGTCTCTTTTTATCTAGGGGGTAGTCAAGATCAAAGTGATATAACAGTCAAAGTTTCACAAGGGAGCAACTCTTGGCACATGTAAAGGTACTCGTGGGGAAACTGAACCCTCTGCACAGTTGTCAGTGCAGCTAATGCCAGCATGTTACGTGACACAGGCATTTTAAAATGCAGAAAGTGGACATCTGGGCCAAAAGACAGCGTGTCTGAATGGGACTGGTAAAAGCGGCACTGGTGCCAGTTAGATCTGTTGCTGCTACCTCTCCATCTGTTGCATGTACTCAGGGCTCAAAATGTTGTGGTAGCCTACAAGGTTAGGGTCTTCCTTTTTCCATGCTGCGTAGAAAAAGGAAGAAAAGAATATGACAAAGTAATTAACAGCACACAACACTGTGTTAGATGTGCCTTTTGGCTCCAATTTTTTGCTAGATTCCTGCGTTATTTTACTTTGACTTTTGGGTGTGTGAGTTGTGCTTTGAGGTAAAAGGTTGTTGCAAGAATGTATTTTGGTTGTGTAATATTTTACTCTACAAATATAGATCACTCTTCAAATGAGTGTGTTTAAATGTACAAGCCTACACTTAAATTTTCGTATAAATATTTTGAAGCATTGAGTACAATCAGGACAACAAATATATTTGTAGTTTATATCAAAGCCTTTAATAGACACTATTAACTATAGAGCATAGGTCTAATTTCATATTGTAATTTAAGGTAACTGCTGCCACATAGTCTGCTTATGTTGCTGATGATTCATTTTGATATTTATATTTTTATCCATTGCTTATGCACCTGTTGCTGATCATGACATTAAATAACTTTTATGATAAGGAGGTAGAAAAGACAAACAGGCTCAGTCTTTCAGTAAGTCATGTTTAGGTGGACATGTTTGCAAGGTAGAACATACTCCGTTTCCTGCCACCAAGGAGGTGGAGTTACAACCCTTTTCCTTTAATATATATCCTCGTGGGCTGTTAGCAGGCAAAATATCTGCGTAAAACAAAGCCTTAGGATAAAAGAATACTTGCTTACAGTCCATTGCTGTGTGCATTTATTGTTCTGTAGGGCTGTCAAGGCTATTTATTGCTTTGCAGAATTTCTAACGAGTCTACAAAACGTAACGTCTTCAGGGAAAACAGCAATACTGAGTAGTCTTGAAACGGTCTCCAAAATTAGCTGTAATTCACAGACACTACCTGTGTTTGCGAGTCCTTGCAGCTTGCCTCTTGGGGCCAGACTTCTTCCCCCACCCCCCTTGCCCTCCCCACATTCTCTGCTCTAGTTTTAGATGTCTTTCTCATCCATATTGGTTTCAGCTATTTCCCCTGCATGCTATCAAACCTATAAATATATAAATTATTGTGTGTAGTGTGCAGTATGGGTCTAAGAGACAGAATGCTGTCTGGAGAATTTTGGATACTTTGTAGAAGTAGCTTGTCTGTTCTGTAGTTTCTGTTGAAATTAAAAGCAGTGCACTGCATAGATACAGTCTGAACAGAAGTCTTTTCTGTGAGCATCAGTGCTGGTTTACGCAGATCACGTTGATCCCTGAGATCAGGGGTGGATGTGGTTCACTTCCGTGTATTTCATTAACGACTCAAATACAATGTGTTTCAAATGGTTTTTGTATGGGAAACATTTTAAAAGATGAAGAACGAGTGGTAGCTGTATTCCAACAAAATAATAAATCTGTAGTATTTGAATTACAGCGAAGAATTTTAATCCAGGTTTTAATACACGCAATAGGAATTTGTTAAGATGGGTGTGGAATGTAAAGAAAAATAGAATAATAAAGACAAAGCAGAGTCTAGAGAACATAGTAAAAGCATTGAGAATTCTGTGTATGTCCAATCTTCTCTGAAGTTTTGTCTTCTGAATTTATTCTCTCTGAAGCTACTCAATGAACTTTCGGAAAAAAATGGAGTCAAACCAGGATTCACACAAAAGAGTCCAAGCAACCTGTTAGCTTTCCCCCATTAAATACACGCTCAACCGAAGCGATCTGGCTCTGCTTACCTGCAGTAAAGTAATGGGGTGACGTTAGCTGAAGCCTGCGGTTTGATGTGCTATCGCTTCCGTCAGTAAGTTTAATTGCCAGCAAATGGCTAAATAGGGGTTTAGGGTGAATGTTACATCTGTCTGCCACGTTAGTGGTAAGAGGAATTCTGGCGCCGTTTCAGGGTCACTATTTGTATCTGTCTATCAGAGGTAGAATACAGCAGTTTCTCTCAGTTTCTGTATAGCATTTCTGCCAATTGTTTGGCTCCATTAAGTGTGCAGGGGAAATAAAAGCCTGAATGACCAAGTCACAAGGGGGTATGGATAGACCCTTTCTTTGTCCACACTCAGAACATTGCATTAGGTCTCATTATCCATTTATAATAAGTGACCTTTGCCCCCTGGGTCATTGAAAAATACTCAGTGTGCTTTTTAGCACAGAGTACCTCTGTCAGCAGACGGGCAGAACAATGAAACGTCTGGCGGTCTGGTTGGAGGGCTGTACTCCGCAGGTTTTCATAAATATGCAGTTTGATGCCAAAACACAGGACTAAAATCTTCCTTTAGTCCCTGAAAAATATAAAGGCGGCCAGCAAGTTCTTGTGATAGAATATTCCACAAATACTGTGATGAGTTACTGACACACTGTTCAGCTTTTAATATTTTTTAAAGAATCTTAAAGTTACACTCGCAGCTAATAAGGAAGTAACAAGGAACCATTGTTTGAAGAAATATTTTGTACAACAAGTGTCCAAGACCTTTATCCCAAGGGCATTTGTAAGTGGATTAGCACAGCTGTTTCATTGCTTTGAGGTCATCTGTGACATCTGCTGCAGAAACCTGGACCAGACTTGGCTGTTCGTCTCTACCTGAGCGCTCTAGCGCAGCCGCAGCTGGTGTAGGGAGGTGAGAAAGTGGGTAGCAAGAGATTCGGACCTTTCTGTAAGTTCATGACTTGAAAGTGAACTTGCATGTTAAATTCCACAACCTGCTGGCCTGAAGGAAGCCTCGGTATCCTGCTCCTAACTCTTGCAGGGTTTTTACAGTTGGTCAGAGTCAAAATTAACCAGTCCTGAGAATCTCCTCGCCTCCTGACAGAGCACGTTTCAGACTTTTGGTTTTTGGAAGAGTTCGTCCTGGATGTATTACAGTCCTCAGACCTTCAGTGCTGGGTGTTGGGTGCTGGACGTTTCTCTCCTACCCTTCTCAGATTTAATACGTAATATTTTACCTTATTTGTGTGTCTCGTATTCCCTCTTTATTTACCTGTCTTCTGAGCAAGTCCTAAATCTAATCACGACAGAGAAAGGAAATATAAGTCCCAGTTTATTCTTCCTAGATGATTCCTCCTGTAACATAAGTACCATCACCTGGTCCCTGGCAGTGGGAGGGGGGCTGTGAGAGCCGCTGTGTGCATACAGAGGAGGGTGTCTGGTGTCCACAGGAACTTGCAGTCTAAAGGACTTGGCTTTCTTCAGAGAACTGCCACCTTTCATCATTACTTATTCTTTAAATACTACTTAGTTCCTGCTGGTTAGGATTTCGGAATTAAGATGCTTCTAGTAGTATAAACTCTGGAAGCATGCTGTTAAGATGTACTTTTCATGTCCAGGACATGCACAGGGGTTTTTTATCTATTGAATACTTTTCTCTCTCTTACCGTGACCCAAAGTCTTACATATTTGATCAACGTGACTCAAGTTTCCTTAGTCTGGCTTCTGTACCTTCCTTTTTCTCATGTTTGAATTCAACCAGACATGCACATGATACATAATGGAATTGCAGTGAAAGCAGGTAACTTTGCACAACAGCAGAAAGTCTTCCATCCTCATTTCTTACTTTTCATTTCCTTTATTCCTTACCCCTCCTCTTTGAATTCACTTTTTCATTGCACCGAAGGAGTGGACTGTAGTTGAGATATCTGAAACGTGGACAATTAACACATTAATGAAAAATACTTGAAATCAGGCCAAAACCAGCCCCCAAAAGGTAATGAATAAAATGAGATACGATTTCTCTCCTCTGGATCTGGAAAGGGCACCTTCACATTCCAGGCAAGAGTTTTGGCTCATCAGGACCAATTTTATGGAGAAGACCTGCAGTTGTCAGAAGCAGACCAATGACAAGAATTAATATATAAACTGGTATGCAGTACTCTTTGACAAATTGCTTACTAAATACATCAAAATTGATTGGACATTCTCTGTTTAAATTGACAAATGACTGCATTAGGGGAAGGAGGGAAATCCATTAATTACAGCTGCCCTCAACCATAGGAAATGTAATCGTATAAATATAGATTTTGTTAAAACAAAAGT